AGAGGTTACTCACTGAGAATAAGAGTCCTCTGTTATTACGTCTAAATGACTCAGTATTACTATGAGAACTTTAAAAACAAGTATTTGAAGTTCCAGAAAGAAGGTAATACCTGACTCAACTATGAAGTGGGCTTAAAAATAAAAATTCAGGGGCCAAAAACCAAAGACACCAAGATTTAGAATGTAAATATTAAAACATCCTAATTTTCCACAAATCCTTTCAATCTGCTACAGAACTGGGAAATCAAAAGGATTTCCTCTTTATATAAAGAAAAAATATGGCTTCCCAGAGTGGATTATCACTTAGTTATTCTTTATTTAATTATTAATGTTTTAAACAAAATTCATAGGACACTCAGAAATAAAAAAGTGTCTTATTTAGACACATTTGCCAAAGCAGATGTGAATAAAGGTTTAGACAAGATTGTATTTTATTTTCTTAACAGCTGAATGACTTTTTCCCCAAATGTCATACATTACATTCTACACTTATTTCTTGCTCAATCGCATACTCTTTAGAGACTTGGTCTTTCATTCTCCAGTAAAGTAGAGGAAATTATTTTTTCATTATTATAATTCAATTGTTCATAAGAAGTCTTCTATTGAATTTATATTGTAGTAGCTGTAATTAACTGATGAAATTTTAAATACTTATTTAAATTACTTCTGTCTACCATCATTGTTGACGTCCATGAGTTAGCACTAGCATTTTATGACAAAAACTGCTAAATGTCAGCAGTTCATTTTTTTCAGGCCAATAACTGAGAATGACTGTAATTACTGCAATAAATAGTTGTAGGTTAAGCTATATCTCAATAGGCAGAACAATTCAAATATATGCAGAATAAGACAATATTAAGTATTCACGAATCTCCCTTCTACATTTAGAATTGTAGTCAACAATTTAGTCCCCTTTTGGTTAAGATTAATTCATGGTTGTGCAAATGAAAGCTACAGTCCCTGGCCTAACACCCTACTTTAAGATTCTGTTCATTTTCACTGAAAGAACAACTTAAAATACTAAGGTTATAAAGGGTAAACAAGCAAATGTAAATTTCATCAGAAACTTGAGTTTAGAGTAATGACTTGCATGCACCTAACCATTCCAATCAAATGCTTAGGCACGTACTTATGTTTTTTGAAGAGAGTATGCATGTTTCATCCAATTCTAAACAGAAAGCACCACATAAGAAAATCATATTTTAGAAAATTAATTCAACATACTATTGTGTATGTGTGCAAGTGTCACTTTCAAAAAATTCCCAGAAAAAAAGAATAGCATCTCCCATTCCTATTTCTTCTTAGATGATTGTTTAATAGCGAAGTCAGTTTACATTTGAAGACATTTTGAATAATCTTATTAAAAACCAATACAAACAATGTGGCTCATGTTTAACTCTTCAGTTATTTATCCATTAATCTCTTTAAGTGCTTCCTTCCCTAACACAGCTGTAGTTCAAGAGGTGGCCAGCAGTTGGCCTCCATTTCAGTGGATTTTCATGAAAGCCCAGATTTCTTTCTGCAAACTTTCTAAAAAGTTGTATGAAAAATAACTTTTTCATAACTTAAGAGCTTATAACAAGCTTTCCAAAGGATCCAAAAGAAACACATTTTCTTTTAAAAATAAAAACCAAACAAAAGGAAGCCACACACATTGTAAAGATGTTCTCTGCAAAACATTCTGTTCCGCAGATCTGAAATGTCTCCAAAGGGACCAAGAACCACTTGGTTTGGAAGTAACAGTTGAGAACTCATAACAGGTTGGTTAAAAGCCAACAGTGACAACCATGAGATTTTTAAAGCAGATTAGGAGTGGCTGAGATACCAGACACTGGGCCTTGCCTAGTCTCCCTGTTTCATTTACTTGAATGCTTTCAACTGTAGCGTTCAACCACCCACTACAGCTGTTCAAAAGCCTCTGTCCTTGGTCCTCTGTCCTTTTTGCCTTTTACGCTATCCCCTGAAGACTGCAATCCTACTAACTACCATGGTTATGATGACAACTCCTAAACCTACATCTCTGTTTCTGTTATATCTCCCAAACCTAATCCCCTATCTCCAAGTTCTGACTTATATATTTCCACCAGGATATGCCATCATCATCTCACACACAACACATACAAAACAAATTATTCACCTTTATCAAACTTTCAGTTTCCCGGCCTCTGTTAACATTAATCCCATTGTTCTGGTCACCAAGAATTAAACCACAGGAACAATCATGGACTCCCTGGTGCCCTTCATCAGTCACATTCAGTTGGTTCATGTGGCAGATCGCATTTTTCAAAGATGGCCACCACAGTATCTCCCATCCCACATGTATTTCTACAGCATGACCTTACCACTTCACCATCAAACACGTAATGGAGTCTAATTCCTCTCTCCTTGAATCTGGACTAGCCTTATAACTCACTTATAACCAGAAGAATGTGACCGAGGCAATACTATGAGACTTCGGAGGCTAGGCAGAAAAGACCATGAGGAAGGAAGGAAGGAAGGAAGGAAAAAGAAAAGACCATGAAGCTCCTGCCTGGTTCTCTCAGAACTCTTTCTGGTGGAAGCCAGCTGCCATACATGAATGTCAACTACCTTAAGACTGCCATGCTAAGAGACAACATGTAGTCCCAACCTGGCCCAATCTTCCAGCTATCCCACTAAGTTGCGATAATATGAATAAATCCTCCTGGATCCTCTCTACCAGTTCATCTGTCAGCTCAATGCCACCAACTGTACTTAGTAAATACACTGAGAAGAATCACCCAGCTGAGCCTTGCCCTAAATCTCGACACATAAAATCATGAAATATATTATATAAATATATTATGTAAATGTAATAAAATCCAGAGCTTCCTTCTAAGCATTCAATACGTTGTAAGTAGAGTTGTTACTCTGTGGGGCTGAATGTTAACTGACATGCCACTTCTTTCCCTCCATTCCCAGGGCCAACATCACAGAGGAAGAAGCTCTCATCACCTTAGATCTAGATCATTATAACTGATTCCAGGCCCTCCTCACTATAATCTGCCATTACAATCTATCTAACCTAATAGTTCCAACCAGAAAACCTCTTTTGCATACCAACACTACAATCAACACCAGTCTCGTTGATGTTTTCCATTTGTAGAAAGTTTTATAATGAAAACTTGATCTATACAACAACAGCCAGAGATCTGGGCAAATATTCTTTTCCTTACTTTAGGGATGAAGAGATCAGAGTTAAGGAGATTAACTTTTGTATAATCTCACTGCCAACAAATAGAGTGGATATAAATAGAACTAAGAGGCTATGTCAAAGTTCACTGCTATTTCTCTGTTCTACAGTGCATCCTATCATCTATCTCAGATCAAAAACGTTCAATGGCTTTCTCCATCCCCACTACAGCAAACCTACTTTCTAAATACCCTTAATTTGGTCTCAGTCTATCCAGTTGTTTGGTATTGCCTACTAATACCACCACCATCACCACCATCAGCACCACTACTACAATATGGATTACTTATTTACTTACCTAACAATATACCATGCTGATTCTAGCCTCTGAACATCTGCTCACAAAGTTTCCTCCTTTCTCCTATCTAGTTAAACCTTGCTCATGCATTAGCATAAATACCACCTCCTCTCCATTAAGTCCTACCAGCCTATCTCTGTTGCTTTCTCTCCGGTATTCCTACAGAATTTATAAATTTCACCCAAAATTTCACAATTACATTGGATTGTTTATCTTGCTCAAGTGTGTTGGTCTCACCTTCCAGGCTGGTATTCAGCTAATACACATCCATACATACAGCCATGTTGAGCACTTACAGCCAGTGTCTGTTCTGACCAGTCAGTACTCATAACATACCATCTGTTAAATATTTTGAATTTCATCCCTGCTTATTTCCTACACTAAACAATAAGCTCTTTAAGAACAGGACCCTTGTCTTATAAAGAAGTACTATAAACTCCAATCCAAACACAGTACTAAGCACACAACTAGTGTTCAATATATATTTGATGACTGATTTGAAGGGAGTAAAGTGTGTTGTGTTATGAGAAAAAAAAATCCCTAAGTCATGTCTACACTGGAAAGAGAGACTTGAAAAGATAATAAAATATTTTCAAGATCAGCATTTTAATGTCAGGAACATTTTATAATGTATCATTTAAAGATATTCTGTGCAGCCCATAACTGCAAAATGTTCTATAAATGTTTTTACCAGGAGTGTGAAAAAAGTGTTTCAAAAATATTCAAGGAGTACATGTCTTACCAGCCCAAAATAAAATGTTTGCTGAGGCTCCAGACTGGCAGAACTCTGCTTCATTTCAAAAAGTTTCCAGGCAATGGAAATGTTTTCCTGGAAAATACTACCTTTTATTTAGAGAACACTTGCCATGAACACTTAGTCATTAAGTAATTTAAGGTTTCCTCACAAGCTCTTTGGAGGAAATCTATTATATGAATGAATGAAATTATCAGCACCTATAATGTCAAAAAAATACATTTGGCTAAATATATGAAATCTACCTAAGTATTTTTCCAGGTAAAGGGGAAAAATCTTTGATACTTTTTGGTCATTTACTGTTCTTTAAAATTTTTCTATAAGATAAAATTATGAAGAAAAACACAAAATCCTTAAGTGTTTCTCTGTAATATACACAAATCCAAAAAACTGGAAGGCTTATTTTATTCCAAATGCCAAGTAATTTTCAAACAGACAAAACAGTCATTTCATTCAATGAAAAGAAATGGTAACTTCAAAGCTATTTTTAGCAAAATCTTTGAGTTTGCTTCAAATCACCTTTCAATGGGAGAACAACTTGGTTTGGACATGTCACTCAATCATCTGCACTAACTCATACAACGAAACCTAAGAAAACAATTTCTTCCAAGAGTTTGAAGCCAACTAAGTCTTATTCTTTTAAACATCAAAAGACACAAGTAAATTTTACTTTGAGCACATGGTTTGTGCATTTAGTCTTTTAAAAATGTACACAAAAGGATATTTGTTTTGTTTACCTGTTTAGTATTTCAGTAAGTTTCACAAAGCCAGTGTAAGCCAGTTCAAACGCTCCTCTGTGCCTGGACTGTAAGAGGTGTTGTTTAAAGTAATCTCCTATTTCTTTTACCTTTAAAACAAAATAAAAAATAAATGTGTGATTTACGCTTAGCTACAGTTACAGATACATTTATGTCAGTAATAACCATTGAGAACTCAGAACTAGATCTTTATCCGTTTAGCACTGACTTTGTGACAGGTAGTATTTTAAGTGTTTTTGTAATATCACATTTAATCCTCACGGTAAATTCCATGAAATAAGTTCTACTATCATCTCTACTGTTCAATAGGGACGAGGCCCAGAAAGGCCAAGTAACTTATTCAAGGTCACACAGCAAGTGAGTAGCAGAGCCAGGACATAAACGCAGGCAGTCTGGCTCCAGTCGTCATCTGTAACTGCTAGGCTAGAACTGCCTCCCTACACCAGCTTCACAAACCTCGCTGTGTTCTGTTAGCTTGTACCACTCAACACCAACAGCAAGTCACACAAAGTGACAAGCCTTACACGCCTAAGCCTGGGTGAAATAATTAGCTTTTTTGGTTCACAAATCTCTTTTCTACTGTGGTTAAAATAGACATAAAATAAATTCAACATTTTTTAAAAAGATTTTATTTATTTATTTGAGAGAGAAAGAGCACGAGTCAGGGAGGAGCAGAGGGAGAAGGAGAAGCAGACGCCTCGCTGACCAGGGAGCCCGATGCAGGGCTCGATCCCAGGACCCTGGGATTATGACCTGAGCCAAGGGCAGACGCTTAACCAACTGAGGCACCCAGGAGCCCCTAAAATTTACTGTTTTTAATGTATACAGTTCCGTGGCACTCCGTCTATTCATATTGTTGTGTAACCATCAGCACCACCCATCTACAGAACTTTTTCACCTTCCCAAACTGAAACTCCAGTCCACTGGACAGTAACTCCCAATAATTACCATTTAGAGATAAACAATTAGTGGCAATGCAAGACTTGTGCAAAGGGAGTCCTGAAAATTGAAAATTGACAGGCTTCACGCTGAGTCAGAACCATGGAATTTTCCACAATGCTACCTGATCACTTTCCTACATGTTGCCTTTCTGCATGCAAGTTTAGACAAATAACAAATATGATAATATATTTTAAGGAAGGCAAGACTAACAATTAGTTGTTGATGAGGTTTTGTACAGAATTAACTGGTAAACTGGGCTAACTGTACTTTTATACCAGGAAGATTTGGTGGTTATCGACTTTAGAAAATCCAAATTTTGTATAAAGCTCAGGACCAAAGCTGTAATTGGCTCTCTTGATCCAAGTCTCCCCAGCAGGTCACAGTACGGTGGAAAGGCAAGCTATCCCAAGATAGCTCAGATATGCTTACCTAAAACACCTTCTACCTCAGCACAGTGACTAGGTTAGTGCCCTGCACACATGAGAGATAATAAACAGTACAAGGTGTAAACGTTTGACCGTGAGCAAGTGTCTCAGTCTCCTCATCTATAAACTGGGTATAACAATAGTACTTGCCTCAAAAATTGTATATTAAGTTAATAAAACTAAAAGTGCAGAACAGGCCCATAATCTATAATCCAATTCAGTTCTGGGTTTCCAAATAGAGGAAAAGTAAAGACGTACTCCATACTCAAAATATATCTGATTATAGAGAGGTAACAAGTGATACACTTAGAGAAATAAGAAACAGACATAAAACAGATATAAAACAACAAAGAACCAGAAAAGGAGTATATAATAGGATTTTTTAAATTCTAACACTTTAATAACCCAAGAGTGACACGTCATGTTCTTCAGCTAAAGTTTTCAGGTAAAGATCTTACAATACTCCTAATTTTTAATATTTTTTAAGAGTCACATACAACTAGCTATCAAAACCACCGTCAGGGTAACCTTTATCATTTTCTCTTCAATACAGTAATTTCAGAGCGTATTTTGACCAGAATTATCAAGCCTTTAATCTGAATTTAACCCCCAAGATAGATCTAAAACTCAATAATCCTACAAAGTGAGGACCAGAACTTCACTCAGCTAACTTGTTTTGAGTATCATTTCTATTACTAGAGAAATAAAAGAAGATTTCTAAGAATAGGTATTTTAAGCCACAGAAAATAAAAACAGCAAGTCATAAAGATGGGGTCTAACTTCCTTAATTTTTTTTTCTAAAATGTTACAGATAGTAAAACATACTTCAGGAAAACACAAATGTTAACTGTTAAAGTGCTTCTCTGTGAACTTAAAACAGTTCACCATCTAGTTCTTAAGCAAAGATTTGATGTTCAGCTTCCTTTATCCTGTTTAAAGGAACCTAAACCAAAAAGCATATAATAAAATCAAAGATCTCAGAAGTGTGACCAGTACATGGGTCTTCTCAAGGATGGACCTCAATTTTAGGTAATCCTGGCCTCAGGAAACAGAATGAGGTTCTAAGAATACAAGTGGAAGTAGACAGTTTTCCCTCATTTCATTCTGAACATAATCTCCCAACAAACTCACCTAGGTAATACTATGAATTCTTGCCTTTGAAGAGAGTATACAGTGTCTGACAATCAGTAAATATTTCTTTTTTTTTTTAAAGATTTTATTTATTTATTTGACAGAGAGAGACACAGTGAGAGAGGGAACACAAGCAGGGGGAGTGGGAGAGGGAGAAGCAGGCTTCCCGCTGAGCAGGGAGCCCGATGCGGGGCTCAATCCCAGGACCCTTGGATCATGACCTGAGCCGAAGGCAGACGCTTAACAACTGAGCCACCCAGGCTCCCCCAATCAGTAAATATTTCTTTAGCACCCAGCCAAATGCTTAGCAGCTTAGTGCTAGGGTAGACAGGGAGGAATAAAACAGGACATCTGTCCTCAAGAGGCTTTCAGTTCAGACAAAACCAATATGCTGAATGGTACCCATCAGATGCCTAACAGCTCCAAGAAATGAAAGATCCTTCTGCCCTAGAATAAATTATTACAAGAAGCTTCATGGTTAGACCTTGAACTGGATATACTTGGGTGGACCAAAATGGAAGAGGGTAACGAACATGGGAAGAGGCTGGGTGGCTAGAAGGAATGAGCATTTATTAAGTCCCTGCTACCTCCCAGACACTACCGGATCTTTCTATATGAATGAACACAGAATATGTAAGTGAAGGTTAGCAGACCTGGCTGAATGACCTTAAGGTTTCATACTAGAAAACAGTGGAAGACAGGGTTGCAAGTTGGACATGGACCCCATTACCAAGGGTAGGAGGAGTCAGCAGGGCAGTGTGGCAGCTGGACAGGGAAAAGGGCCATGCTGACACCTCCCATTGGATAATCAGGCTACAAGAAACAGATCTGACCCAAACAACTTAGAAAATTAATGACAACAGTCAGAACCAGAAATAGAATTTTTTTTAAAGATTTTTTTTTTTATTTGAGAGAGAGAGAGCGAGCACGAGTGGGGGGGCGTGCAGAGGGAGAGGGAGAAGCAGACTCCCTGCTGAGGCAGGGAGCTCAATGCTGGGTTTGATCCCAGGACTCTGAGATCACGACCCAAGCCAAAGGCTCAGCTGACTGAGTCACCCAGGTGCCCCCAGAAATAGGATTTTTAAATTTATTTTTAAAATGCAGAAGTCCTCTGAAAGCTCTGAACCAATTGCCTTTTTATTAGATGCTACTAAAGTCCTATCTAAAGTTCACAAAAACATGGATGATGTCTTCACAAAATATTTTCTTAATGAATAACATACATCTCAAGATTTTTAAAAGGGAATAAAGGTAAAAAGGTAAAAAAAAGGGGGGGGCACTGATTTCTTTTTTTTTTTTAATTAAAGATTTTTATTTATTCATTTGACAGAGAGAGACACAGTGAGAGAGGGAACACAAGCAGGGGGAGTGGAGAGGGAGAAGCAGGCTTCCCGCGGATCAGGGAGCCCGATGCGGGGCTCGATCCTGGGACCGCGGGATCATGACCTGAGCCGAAGGCAGACGCTTAACGACTGAGCCACCCAGGAACCCCTGATTTTTATTCTTAAAATTAAATTCTAGTCACTAACTTTTTAAATTTAGCAGATCCTGGTTCTAAATTTTCATAAAACCCATTTCTACAGGCCAATTAACATGCTTTCTAGATTTACAGGGTATTTTCCATAGGGGAAAATAGCTACATGCCATGTCTTTAGGCATCTATAACTCACCAGTGGACAAATTAGGGGAGTTAAATGCTCATCTAGAGCCTAAAACCCACAAAGGGCAAATTTAAATACATTTTTAAAAATTTGTCCTTTATCGATAGAAATACAGCTGAAAAATCAAGGCTAATTCCACTCATTCTAAAGTAGATAAACCCAAGAGGATTTAAGTATTGGTGGAACGTTTCTACAAAAGCCTATGCAGTGGTTAAGCTGTGATACTCTGGAGCCGGGAGGGCTGAGTTCAGGAACCCTACTCAGCCTCCTTACTAATATAAGCTAATTAAGCCAGTTCCTTCACCTGTGAAATGGGGCTAAAACTAGAACCTACTTCATAGGATTATTCTGAGAAATAAGTCAGATTACACATACAAGCATGTAGCAGAGCACCTGGCAGACTAGCAAACAGTAAATGTCTGTTTTTGTTTTTATTTTGTATCATCAAGTATTGAGACTTAATCCCTTAATTTTAATTTTGACTTTAGGACACAGCTACCTCGTATAACCTTAGGAATGTCATTAATTCCACTTTGGTTAAATAGAACAGTTTATAAAAGTTTAGAGGACAGTAAGATAATTAATGTTTTAAACTGTACATTCTCTATTATAGGGATTTCTTACTAGCAGTGGGGATTCTTCAAAGCCCAAACATTGCTCCCCTACATAATAACAACAAAGATAATAGTTTTCTGGTATTTAGGGGCCCTGGGTGGCTCAGTCGGTTAAGCATCTGCCTTCGGCTCAGGTCATGATCCCAGAGTCCTGGGATCGAGCCCCACATTGGGCTCCCTGCTCAATGGGGAGTCTGCTTCTCCCTCTTCCTCCCTACCCCCCTCCCGCTCATGCTTGTGCGCGCGTGTGCACTCTCTCTCTCTTCTCTCTCTCTCTCTCAAGTAAATAAAATCTTTTAAAAAAATAGTTTTCTGGTATTTAGACATCTTCTTACCAGCAGTTTATTCTTTGCTTTCTAGCAAATTCTTAACCATGTGCCCTTTTAACTGGTGTCCTTTAGTCTAACTTTTAAAAATGAATTTGTCTTGCATCCCTTATTACATTTCTAAGCCCTTCGAGGTCAGAGAACCACATATTACATTTCTTTATGTTCCCACAACACCCTTGTAGTACAGCAGTCAATAAACAGGTGACTAAAAGATATGTTTAATTCCATTTCATAGCTTAAAAATGGTAAACTGCATTCAGTACAATTCAATGAATACTTACTCATAATTTCTAAAAAATAAACTCTGGCAAAACACAAAAGGCAATTTCTTTAAGACTTACAGATGCTAATAAACATATATCCCCTGTTGTCCATTACGGAAAACCTAACACAGTAACAAAAGACATTGAGAAAAATGTGTAAACCCATTTAGCCATGTACATCCTAAAAATTACAACAGAATCTACACGTAGGAATTTTTAAAAATAGCTAATTTAATTGTTGGTAATTATTTTTGTTCAGGCGATTTCTGTGGCGATAATTACTAGCAAAGGAAAGCAGGTATGAAAAATCTACCCCAAAGCTTCTTTTTAGGAATACTAGAGGAAATATATAAATATATGAATTGATACTCCAGATAGAGGAAGTGGTTTAAAAAAAATAAGCAGGCACTGGGTATCCAATATCCCTTGGAAAGAGGACCAACAAAATGTATCAAGCAAAAGCTCTACATCAGCAAAACATCCAGCTTGAAGCCTAGACACATACCAGCCAGGAAGTTGTGAGATAAGGTTGCGCGTACTGCCCACTCTTTAAGGGTCTCGACTTACATCCCTCAAAGTTGGTTTTATCTCTGCTTCTTGTACAGGGACATTATGAAAGAACCTTTCATTAGGTGATTACCTTGCAGGAGGAAAGTCAGACTTGCCTCTGAATGAACACATTTTCCTCTTGCTGAAGCCGTGGAGGACACACTGCTTTGCAAGAAGTGATTTAGGGAAATGAATCATTTGCTAAAAAGCTCAGTAGCAAGTTGCCTTACTGTCCTGTTGCTTGTAAAAGTCTGGTTGGGTAGGGGAAGTAGGGAAGATTAAATTTAAAGAAAAGTTAAATGAGCAGTTCAGAACAAAGGCAGCACTGTGCTGTGTCTGAACGCAGGCTGGAAAGGAGAACTGGGTTCCCCTCCCGCAACTGCCACAAGCCAGCTTTGTGATCTTGGGCAAACCAGGTAACACCCGAGGGCTTCAGTTTGCCCTTGTACAAGAGGGCTGGATCCTATCATCCCTGTGACCCTTCCAGCTCTAATAGTCTGTGAATACAGCACTGAATACTCAGTCACAAACGGGAACCAGTCCTTCTCATTCCGCGGCAAATTGTAATCTTCAAAATGATCTCACTGCCTGCCAGCTGGTTAGAAACCACCCTCATGTATGCAGGATTTCAGGGGTCACCCCTTCAACAAATGGCCCCAAAACTAGGATGGGATTAAAGGCACCAGGCTACAAAAGAAATCCTCCCTGTTGTCTGCATTTGAGACATCAAATTTTAAATTAGGATCATCCTGCTTTTTCAAGAGTAAAGGGCAAATGGAGAGTAAAAGAAACACTGGGTTGAGTGTCAATATTTTAGGTTGTATGGAACGGCCTCCTTCATCCATTAAGAGAAAAGCAGAGCACCGTTGTTATTATTACTCTTGAGAATAAGAAATCCAAGTCCCAGATTCTCCCCCAAAGTGACTCCTGCCTACAAGTCACTTCGCTGCCTCTGTCTGTGCACGTCTGTTATGGTCACCCTCACCTAAGGTACTGACTCTTAAATTCTTAGTTTCGCTGATAGGTGCACAAAAGATGTTGTGTTGTAATAGTGACTGTGTCCTTGGAAGGAAGGTGGACCTCAGGCATGGCCCACCCACTCCAATGGAAATTACCTTCTTCTCTATCATGTACATATTTTTAACTCTCAAAAGTTTTAAGTACATGGTTGTATTTTTAATTTAGAAGAATTTCACGGAGAAAAGTTTTGTTTAAAAGTAGGAATCCTCGGGGCTCCTGGGTGGCTCTGTCGTTAAGCGCTTGCCTTCAGCTCAGGTCATGGTCCCAGGGTCTTGGGATCGAGCCCCGCATCGGGATCCCTGCTCGGCAGGAAGCCTGCTTCTCCCTCTCCCACTCCCCCTGCTTGCGTTCCCTCTCTCGCTGTGTCTCTCTCTGTCAAATAAATAAATAAAATCTTTAAAAATAAATAAAAAATAAATAAAAGTAGGAATCCTTTAGCAATATGAATAACACTAATTTCTTGATGACTTTGATTTTCATTGACTCAATGTTCCTAAACTGAGGCATTTCTTCTAGTTAAAGACACCAGGATCAAGAATAAAGCCTTCCACAAGTGGCAGGGTTTCCAGGTTGGAACAGCGTTACCCCAGACATTCTTGATTGCTCATTCAGGAGTTAATTTCTTCTCAAACCAAAAATGTGATATCACCACATGAACAGCGACATGGAAAAATGACTGAATCTCACTAGAATAGAAATTAATATTTTACAGAAAAGCAAGACTCATTTTTTATTCAAGAAAACAGTCATTAGAAGAGTTCTTTGTTTTATAAGAGCCTCTCTGTTATTGTTGCTGTTGTTTTTTGGGTTTTTTTACAAACATCTCTTTTATTTTATATAAATTCTCAATTCCAACATGGTTCTCCCACATAAATTAAATTCAAAAGATTTGGGTGCTATGGAAAAGATGTCAAGGCCAGATGGTTTTCACAGGAAGCTTTCAGGTCTTTCTCAACTACAGTAAAAGCAAAATCTGTTTCCCTGAATTTTTTTTTTAAACACTACCCAACAAATCCCCCAAAACTAGATGTCTTAACTTGTCCTTGAAAAGAGGAGTTGAACAGTGAAGAGACTCTAGCACATGTTTACTTCTTAGTAAGACGGTGAACATCAGTGAAGTAATCATTAATCATAGCTGGGTTCCTCAGCAAAGATGTTGGCATTGGCACTTCAGCTGGTCACCAGCAATGACTGCAAGTAACTCTAGAACACTGACGCCTATTTGATTTGGAAGAGAATAAGGAACACAATGATGCCGGCAGTGTACTGTTCCCCTCAGCTGGTCTCCATCTCAGGGCCTTGCAGTATCACAGGCCCAGCTGTTAACCAGATGCAAGCACATGGCCACAGAGTGTGAGAATAAAAATATTAGCATTATTTCCATGGAACTAGTCACATGGTTATTATAGAAATAATCAGCATTTAGCGTACTATAATATTTGTTTTGTTCTTAAATGTTGTAACACCCTTGGGGAAAAATTATCTTTATTTGAAAAAGGTTAAAAATGAAAGTATGTGTTACAGATCTTTGCTGGAAAATGGTGGGAAAGAGATTGTTGAAACCATATGGAAAGGAAGAGGGAATCAATTAAAAACAGAAATCTAATAAATCTAAAATATTTCCAAATGAAATGCTTGTGGTAAGCTAATTTCTTGTAAACACTGCACTCAAGTCACTTGAACAGTCCCAGATGGCGAATGGACTTTGTGGTCTTAAAATAAAAGTCAGCCAAAAAACCAAAGGGACTACAACTTTATTATCAATGTAGTGGGAAACAAGAGATCCATAATCAACCAATATATTACTTTTTTTCCTTCACGAAATTTAAGAGGTTTGTGGAGTTTGCTTTTTTTTTTAAAATATTTTATTTATTTATTTGATAGAGACACAGCGAGAAAGGGAACACAAGCAGGGGGAGTGGGAGAGGGAGAAGCAGGCTTCCCGCTGAGCAGGGAGCCCAATGAGGGGCTCGATCCCAGGACCCTGGGATCATGACCTGAACCGAAGGCAGACGTTTAATGACTGAGCCACCCAGGCACCCCGGTTTGTGGAGTTTTACTAAACAATTTCATTTAAATGTACAGGTGTTAAATGGAAAAATAAAAATTAAAATGACAATGTTGAAGTTAGAAGGTAAAATCTATAGTTATTTATAACTTAGAAAAATAAAACTATTTCTAAAAGTGCCATAGTTTTGAAATGTAGTGCAAGGTCTAATTTCTATACTACCGTGAATTTCCTTTGGTTGACATCTGTAGGATTTTATTCAAGAAAAATGCAAAACTCATGTTTGTTTGAGTTGAGTCACATGACCAGAAATTATACCAGGTGGAATAAACAGCTCCCCTACCTGCTCCACTGTCAGTAAGCCATTGGAAGATTCTGGCATGGACTGCATGGGAAGAAGCTGGCACAGTGTGCCTAAAAGTAAAGCGACCTCCTTCATACTTCGCCAACAACATACCAGCACCATCTGAGCAGTTACATCACATGTTTTTCTTTCTTTACCTTAAAAAAAAAAAAAATCGATTGCAACACTAGACACTTGATTACTCACATCCCAGGTTTCTTAGAATAAGATTATTCATAATTTCCCCAAGAACAATCTGCTTGAACAAACCAATTGTAATATTTATATTCATGATTAAACAAGTAACATTTGTTGAGCATGTGCTCTAAGTAAGAATCATGCTAAGTATTTTTTTAATATACTATTTTCAAAATAAATTTTAAAATAAAACACAATACCGTTTCAAAAACTAAGTCTAACTTTCAGACATTAGTGAGACAAACTCTTTCTGCCTCTAAGTCCTCCATAAATTACGACTATAATAAATATATTTCATTATTCATCTTGGTGAGGTAGCTGTTATATCAGTAGAGGGGCAGGATAAAACTGTTAAAATCAAAGGAAAATATAAATTCTCTTTCAGAATACATTTAAATTCCACAGCCAATAAACACCAATTATGCTTACTCTCTTTTTCTAGCTTTTAGAATTTTAGTATTAACATTAAAAAAAAAATCCGGGCGCCTGGGTGGCTCAGTTGGTTAAGCGATTGCCTTCGGCTCAGGTCATGATCCCGGAGTCCCGGGATCGAGTCCCACATCGGGCTCCCTGCTTGGCGGGGAGTCTGCTTCTCCCTCTAACCCTTCCCCCTCTTGCGCTCTCTCTCTCACTCTCTCTCTCTCTAATAAATAAATTAAAAAAAAAATCTTTAAAAAAAAAAATCCAAGACAATTTAAAAGGCAAGTTAACAAAGCAACCCACTTGTTTTTCAAAAGCCCACTAAACTAAAAGAGTGAATGTACATACACATCAATATTATAGAATAGATCTAAAAGCACATACACTCAAAAGAGAATAAGTGGGATGGGGAGTCAATGAAGAACTTTAATTCCGTTTTTTTTTTGTTCTTTTTTTTTTTAAGGTAAAATGTAAACACTGAATTGAAATTTTAATTAAGGCTTTAAGTTGTTTTTAATTCAAATTTACCTCTGTATTGCTAGAAACTATTACAATAAGCATATACTTAGATGTTATGTTGTGTAATTAAAAAAAAAAAATCACAGAGAAATTTTTATAAGACAATATCTCCATCTAGTGGAGAATGCAGAATATGTAATAGGTCACTAAGATTACTGTTGATGACTTTTTACAGAATTACAGAAAATGATAAAATAACAACTAATGAGAAGACAAGCAGTAGAACACAACTTCTGGAGGCTTGATACAACAGAGCAGCTCACACTTCAGTGAGTAATAAGGTTGATTTCTCTTAAAAGGCTGCTTGACTGTAAGGACTCTCACCGCACACAGTGAACCACATCACTAGGAGAAGCCGACTGCGGCCCAAACCCAAGTTGACCGAGCACCACCTGGCTGCCAAGACAGGTGTTAGCACTCAAAGCTTTCTGTTGTAGCACCTTATATACTGCACTGGGGTGCATCATTTACACATTCCCCAAAATAAATCACTGATAAGCTCAAAGACTTTATTTTCTAGAAATGTTCTGCAAACATCTGCACCCTGATTTACTATATAAAAAACATTCTGTACATTATGTCACTGAAACACCAATTACAATACTACAATGTTGATTTTATACATGCTACCTTTGATCTCTGCTGAAGCACCAATATTTGGCACACTGGCATTCAAGTCCTCCAAATCAAAGCTATCACGTTCTTTGAGTATTTTGGCTTGAGTGAAGTAATCATTAGTATCTCGCGGTTGAATCTCACTCAGAATCGTCTGTAAGCGGCTTGCTGACTCTGAGGGAGAGAGAAGGGAGTGCATAAATCACAGTTCTGCAGCCCATGCGATTTCCCTTGGGAGTATCTGCCCTCAATTTTGTAATTTTTTTTTTTTTTTCTTTTTGGAGAGAGAGCTTGCCAAGCAGGGGTGGGAGGGGGAAGGAGCAGAGGGAGAGGGAGAGAGAGAATCTTAAGCAGGCTCCATGCTCAGCGGGGAGCCCCACACAGGGCTTGATCTCAGGACTCTGAGATCATGACATGACCCAAAATCAAGAGGCCTACGCTTAACTGACTGAGCCACCCAGGTGCCCCGAATTTTATAATTTTTAATACTTGATAATCAGCTCTATGAGAAGGGACTCATGGGGTAGATAATGTGAAAATTACTTATTAAGGTCTTCATGACACTTGAGCGTGCTTTTAAAATATGGCCAAAATTTTAAATTGGTTGAAGACAGTACAAAACAACACAACAGAAACTCTCCGCAAGACAAAGACCATCATCTCATTTACATTGCTTTTCTTTCTTTTACATTGCTTTTCTTAGTGTTATCTAAGAATCTCAAATATGGTGCTCAATCATGTGAAAAAAGAGCACTAAACTTCAGGTAATTTGGTTTTAAGAGGTAAGAAACCACCACAACAAAAACAATCTTTAATACAATACTGTATTGTCAACTGTACTTAAAAATAAAGAAAAAAATCTTCTATAGCTCAGGAATATGATAAAGGCTTTGTATTTGACTTTGAAATGCATTAGGTAATATACTGCTTTCTAAGTATGATTTACAGCCCTAGTATTGTATTGAACTTCATTTTTATTCCTTAAGCACTCAATGGATTAGGAAATGTAAGCTCCACGAATGCAACACTTTGTTCACTGCTGAGTCACCAGCACCTACAAAAGAAAACTGGCTCATGGCAGAGGTTTAGTAACATGGGCTAAGGGAATGAACAGATGATGAGGGAATGAAGAGCTAGGCAGGCTCAGATACTTTAAGAAAAAAAATAAATAACAACAGCCAGTCACCTGAAACCAATTAAGAAATCAAAGAACAGGTATTTTATATACCTATTAGATACACTTACATTTTTTTAAAAGATTTAATTTATTTATTTGTCAGAGAGAGAGACAACATGCACAAGCAGGGGGAGCGGCGGGCAGAGAGAGGAGCAGGCTCCTCGCTGAGCAAGGAGCCCGACACAGGACTTGATCCCAGGACTCCATGATCATGACCCGAGCCGAAGGCAGATGCTCAACCAATTGAGCCACCCAGGTGTCCCTAGATACACTTACATTTTAGGTCTTATAGGAGATACAAAGACCCAAAGGGCTATCAGGATGATTCAACCAACATCTTATGTTCACTTGTGGCTTCCATGAAATATTGCCAAAACAAATTTTGACAGCCATGAAAAAATAACACTGGTTCCAAACAGAAACCATGGAAAGACTAAGAAAAAAAGGATGATCAGAATAAAATTTTACCCATTCCTTTTTATGGCTTTCAGAGGAAATGTTTTCAAGGAATTCAGAATGCACAGGAGATAATGTAGGACAGAAACAGGAATAACAGAGACAACCCGAGGAAAAAAGAAAAGGCAAAATCAAGGAAAAGTCTGTGGGCCACAGACTGTTCTTGAGACCAACGGACATTTTAAAACTTAATAACAAACAGAATTTTAGCATACACTATAGGCCCTACCCACCATAGGTGACAAATATTCAAGATTTCTCATCCAGAATATACTGGTACTTGCCTGATCCAAATACTAGCTTTAAGATTGGATGCTTCTTTTTTTTTTTTTTTTAAAGATTTTATTTTATTTATTTGAGAGAGAGAGAATGAGAGAGAGCAAGCACATGAGAGGGGGGAGGGTCAGAGGGAGAAGCAGGCTCCCTGCCGAGCAGGGAGCCGGATGCGGGACTCTATCCAGGGACTCCAGGATCATGACCTGAGCTGAAGGCAGTCGCTTAACCAACTGAGCCACCCAGGCGCCCAAGATTGGATGCTTCTTATTCCCACGTATTGTTTAAGTAGGAAAACTAAAACATCAAATTTTGGTATACCAGCCAAAATAAACAAATAACTGTGTCTTACTCATGAACCATCACCAATCTGCCAATTCATTTTTAGTAAAGAACAAAACCTAACATTTTCTATGCAAACACAAAACACCAAGTTACTTTAACTCGGTATTTAGGATATGCTCAGTGTGTTTTTAATACAAGCCTCTCATTTGCACTCCTCAAATGCATTCACAAACTTTATTTCAACACCACATGTATACCGTTCGTAGCCAATCCCTTCTGGTTGCTACGGTACAGGTATATATATGCCCCCTACAGTGTCCCACACACTGGGTTTAGTTCCTATCTTTTCTGGAATTGCTCATTCGTTGATTTATTCATTATAACAAATATTTACTGTATACCTATTTCTACCAGGCACTTGCTAAGGACAATGGAGGAAAATACCGATAAAATCCCTCTTAAATCGCAACAACTCCATGAAGAACACTTTGGGAAGAAAAAGAGACAAGACTGGCAAGGTTGCAGGAGCCCAACTATTAGAGGACCTAGTCTGAGGTCACTCAAGTATTTTAAACAAATGGGGTGGGGCAGAGCACAAGAGTTAAGTAGAGATTATGCATAACATGATGAATTATATGAGTAGAAAATATTGCTGTGGGGGCGCCTGGGTGGCTCAGTTGGTTGAGCGACTGCCTTCGGCTCAGGTCATGATCCTGGAGTCCCGGGATCGAGTCCCGCATCGGGCTCC